GTCTCATTGAAATAGCATCCAAATAAACAGATCAAGTTTAAATCAACACAAAGCATCAAGTTTTCTTTTGAAATGTTACTGGACTACTAGAAACAACATCAGAATACATTGAATTTTAATAAGCAGTCGCCATCCTCATCTTAGCCCTGCAATATACAAAAAAAAAAGCAAATTAATGAGAGCTTGTGTTGCTGTTCAAGGCAACATATCATTTCCAGTCTAAAAACAAACATCAAATTAATGAAATCTTCAAAAATGTACAGACATGCAAAAGCTTAGATTATAAAGAAAAAAATAAGAATAAAACTTTCCAAACACAAGGTGTGGCTCATTCTTATACATATGTATATGCTTTCATTGAATCAAATACCAAGCTTTTGAAGGTTGGAACAAGACAAGGGGTTGAATGTTGTCATTGCTTTTGAAGTAGCGAGTTTGGTGCATAACAAAGAAATTCGTGGTCATGTTTAAAATGTTGGCACTTGGCAGAAAAAAAGAGAGGATAGAGGCGTTTTATGTTCACTAGCATAGTTAATGTGACTTTGTTTCTCAGTGGAGGAGAATTAGAACCTGTTCATATCTATCCTTTAGAGAAAAGAAAGAAACAATAGTAGTAGTTTCAAAAATGTTTTTTGCCCTTTGTCGAAGTATTCTATTGGTGAAGTTGACACTTCAAAAATAGATGCCTAGCTAGTCTCTGTGTTCTTTTCTGATCTTCAAATGAACAGAATGGAGTAAAGGTAGAACCTCATCTCCCAGTTGTTCTTTTGTTCTGATCTTGCGCTTCAAGCAGTGATCTCCCGATCTCTGGTCGAGTTTCCTACTAAATAAATTATACTTTTGCTAAAAAGAGATTAATTCAAAAGCAAAAAAAGGCACCATCTTTCACGCACGCAGATAGAGAGCGGGTAATTAGAAAAATGGTGTCTGGAGACGGAGAAATCCTAACCGTAGAAGTAGACGGAGGGCGGTGACGGTCCTGACGGAGACGGAGGGAAGTAGGG